TATACATTTCTTCATAAATTGGCAGGCTTGGCGAGTACTACTTCGAATAAAAATAGCGTCCAAGTTGCAAGACTATGTCGCTACCCCCTTAAATATACAAGAATTTCCCACTGGCACCTATTTTTTGACAGGTCGTTGGAATGCCTAATATTTAGCACGAAAATCCAAGAATACTTTTTAGTATGAATGATTCAATACATTATTATAATTCAAAACAATAATAAATCATTACATAGCAAGATCTCCAAATACGTTTTAAGGACTTTAAAATTGCGTGATTTCGCGGATAAACCTTAATTTATCAAAATGACAAACCCAATATTTAGCACAAAAATCCAGATATATTTTTTAGGACAAATGATTCAATACATAAAAAAATAAAGTATACAAAAACATTAATAAAACAATGTAAATTGTTTTTTATCTCACATATTAAAATCTTAAAAATATAAGAGAGGCGCAACTTTTTAGACGAAAAATCTTGTAATTTGAGCGTTTTGTAATATCTGACTTTTAAAGATATTTTTTTCTCGTGAATTACTCAATAAACTCTCCGAAATCGGGATCTCTGGCTCTTATTTTTACTGGATTAAATCTTATTTGAATAATCGGTGTCAACGTGTCATAGTGCATAATTCCGTATCATGTGACGTTTCAGTCCTATCCGGTCTTTCTCAAGGTTCACATATAGATCACCTATTGTTTTACTTATTCTTTAATGATGTTACGTCCTGCTTTCTTAATAACCAATGCTTTTTTTTTCGTGGATTATTGCGGTGTTGTGTTATTCTTCCTTTTTTTAAATATTTTATAAATATTTTTTTATTTATTTTATATTGTTTTTAACTCCTACAATTATTTGTGTTGATATACTTTACTATTTGGAATTTTACATACTGTAAGTGCTACATAAGTAAATAAAAATTATCCTTTTTGTGTTTTTTTGCCCTTCTCCACGTGAAAATTAATTAAAAACATAAGTTCGTCATCTCTGAATCTCCAATATAATCCCAAAGTCTTATTTTATTCCTTGCCACCAAACTCCACTTGCTCTCCATCAACATTTTCTTCCAACTCTGATTGAACTTCAATACTATTACTAACCCGTTTGCGAAGTAACATTCCTCCTGAAGACAAGACCAATGACACCTTGTTATATTACCTTTTTCGCAGATCTTTCTCATGTCAACATGTCATCATTATAAAAATGACGCATGATTGTAGCCGACGCCTGAGAATATTTTTCAGCATTCTCCATTCCTAACTGTTACAAACATCTTACAGCCAAATGAGGCGCCGATTTTATCACATATGTTACAGTATTTAAAGTGCATTCCAACAATTGATCAGCAGGTGATGATCGCCAAAATATTTTTGGTAAACACCTCTGCTCAGATGTCACCCAAATCATTCTATACATTTTCACGACATCCCCACACACACTACATGAAACCTTAACAATATATAAAACAAATCTTGAACTTTTGATCAGTTATATTGGATTTTGTTGAAAGACATTCTTGTATAAATTTTTTCATCTGATTGTGAATATCTATGATGTTCAGATTACGATTCACGGACTATTTATTTCCACTTATTGGTGACCTTACTGGTCCTGACACGATTCAGCACAACCTTGTCTTTTTTGTAAAAACACAGAGTAAACTATAAAAAACATCTACTCCCAACAAGAGATCAATTGATGCAGATCGATTACATCGTGGATTTGCCAAACTTACATGTGCAAGAAATTTATGTTGATCTTCCGATGAGGAGTTATCCCTGCTATTTTCGAAACTATCAAACAGGAAATAGTATTTACTATAACAACTTTTAATTGCTTCAAATATTTGCTATATATTTTTGAACCAACAGATGTCCTGATTAATGCCAACAATTTAGACCTATACATCCTCTTGACCTAACTTTAATTTACCAACCAACTCTTGGGTAATCCAATTTGGCTGAGATCCAGTATCAAGTAATGCTCAGCAGGTATTGTGCTCAGTAATACTTCACCTGGGACCTCCTCGTTATTTTCTAGAAAAATCGACCTTAACTGCACTGCGCCTGCGTGGACTCCAACTACTTCATCACTTTGTTGCTTGGGTTCCACATTACCAACTTTAGAACCATCTTGATTGGATGACTCCTAATGTTCTTTACCACACTTACTGCATAATCCAGCATCAGTTTTGGCTTATATGTGTATTTTTTAAACCAGTGGTCGCCAACCTCTCAATGTGTTGAGCTTCTTTGTTAATTTTGGAATAAACAGCGAGCTACCCACACGGAAGCCACGTAATGCAACGTAAATGAAATAATCCACAGTTAATTTATCATTATATGTATTTATTTTACTATTTAACTGGTAATACATAATACATAGGTACTAATAATAAACTAATAACAAAATAACTAATATTACTAGTACGTACTTGTTCATAGCTACATTCCTACCTACCAAACGAAGGTGTTTGAAAAATAAACACGAACTTTTATCCAGCCGCAACGGCATGTCACGTAAGATTTAAAAATAGTTAATAATAACAACAAAAAAGTAACGCACTATCATGAACATAAACATTGGAAAATAAAAAAGCACGTTCAATGAGAAGGCTGACACTCAGACTCATCGATAATTTTTTTAATGTTTGCAGTATAATTTGATACAGCCATTCGAATACAATTATCCAAATGTTCATCTGTAAGTCGATTGCGATATTTGTTCTTAATAAACTTCATATTGGAAAAAGAAGATTCACACAAATAAGTTGAACTGAATAATGCTTTCACTTTCAAGGCAACACGGCATAGAACTGCATATTTGTCTTTACTTACAATAGGCCATATACATTTGGTACTTGAGACTAACGATTTTAAGGCTAAATCATTTTGAAACTCAATTACTTCCATTTCTGTTGCAGCGATGTCTTCGCCAAAGTTCTGCATAATACAAGTTGCAAACTGTTGGATATCAATTTCCATAAAGGGTGAAACAACAAACTGCGCTACTAAAGCCATTTCGTTGAAATCCTTAAAACGATTTTTGAAGTTCTTCAGGGTAGAAACTATTTCTACATGCTATTTTCTGTCATAGGGTTCTAATGGATTTTGAGATATTTTTTCTGAAAGAATAGGAAAATGCTTGGCATCGTTGTTAACTAGGTTTTGTTCCCAAAACACCAGCTTTTTGATAAATGCTTTTATATCAGAAATCATTTCCGCTAGTTCTTTGTCACTCCCCTGAAGCTGCAAATTAAGTTCGTTTAATTTCTCTGTAATATCCACGAGAAAACCAAAATCTCTAAGCCAGATTGAATTTTCTAGTTCCGGAGTCGGTTCATCGCGTTGTTTAAAAAATTGAACTATGCCAGATAGGACATCATTAGAACGTTTCAGCACCCGTCCTCTACTTAACCATCGGACTTCAGAGTGAAGGAGTAGGTCCTCATATTGACAGTCAACTTCATCGGCCAAGGTTTTGAATAATCTTCTTTGTAACGCTTGAGCTCTAATCTTGTTCACAATTTTTACCACCAGTTTCATAACGTTGTTTAGTTTCAGGAAATTTACCCTTATCACAACCCACCATAGCTGGAGCGCCATCGGTTGTCAAGCCTACCATTTTCGATATTGGAATTTTCTCGGAAGAAATAATATTTTTTAAATGAGAAAACAACTCCTGTCGAGTAGTGTGTCTTTTCAGTGGAATAAACTTCAAAAGATCTTCTTTAATCTTAAAATCACTAAAAACCATCCTGACGAACACGGCCATCTGGGCAGTGTCAACGACATCCGTTGATTCATCCAGTTGAAGTGAAAAATAAACACAGTTATCTAAGTCAGTTCTTAACTGTAAAAAAATATCATTGCTCATTACTTCTACACGTCTCATCACTGTATTAGCAGAAAGTTGCATAGATTTTATAGCTGAAACTATCTCGTCTTTATTTCTAAAGTTGGCAAATAACGAATCAGCAGCTTCTAAAAACGCCTGTTTTATCATTTCCGCGTCTTCATAAGGTTTCTTTTTTTGTGCAATTATCTGGGACACACGGTACGATGCTTCAGTTGCAGCCTTATTTTTGTCGACTGTTCTTAAAAATATTGATTGTTGTCTAATTAACTGCTATTTTAACTGTTTCAGTTTCTCCTTTCTGGCGGCAGAATGTAGTGGGAATGATTTTTCAAAATTAGAATGTACATTTTTATGATGTCTCTCAATATTTCCTTTTTTAGCAACGGAGACCGAAGTATTACATAACACACCCACATTTTTATCTTTAACTTCTGTAAAAAAGTATTGTTCTTCCCATTCCGAATGAAAGTGGTATGTCTTTACCTTCTTACAACTGCTTGCCATAATATTATTATTTTTTGTTGTTCTTTACTAACCCAACCGCTGTACGTTGGTTACGCGTTCAGTTTTAAACTAAGCGCAATGTCGCCGCGCCGTGCGTATTTATCCCGTTCAAAGCAATCCTGATCGTTCTCGAACACTAACGCGCTGGTCCGGCTGGTCGGTTCTAGCCGATTCTAGCTTGATGGCGTCAGCGACAGATCGCTCACCGCAACGTTGCCGCTGTTTATGTTTAATATTATGACAATTAGATTTTTTTGTAGAATTTTCGGAAGCTTCTCTGATTTTTGCAGTTTGTATTTTTTTAAATTAAAATCGTTGTGAGAGCTACCATAATTGCCTCCGCGAGCTACCGGTAGCCCGCGATCGACAGGTTGGCGACCACTGTTTTAAACAATTAAGACAAACCCAATCTTTTAGTTTCTGGATATGTAAGATAAAATCTTAATTTAAGAAATTTATTGCAATCTGTATCTGTCCTTCTGAAATTTTTTCAAATTTCATTGTTTTCCTTAAAATAAAAAAATGCAAAACTCCCCTTTTTTTAACTCTTTTGTCTATTTGATAATACTTCAAAACAGTTTCCTTATTTTGGTCCGAATTAAAAATATTTATGAACATTTTTTTTTTCTTTCAGAATTTGTTTTCTGGGGAGAATTGTCCTAGATTTATTTCCTGCGAATTTGCTCACAACAGCTCGTGGTACGTCACATTCGAGTCCGACGAAGACGCCCAAAGAGCTTACAGATATTTACGGGAAGAAGTAAGAGAGTTCCAAGGGAAACCTATTATGGCGAGGATAAAGGCGAAACCTATGAATCGACTGCCAATACCTCCCGTTACCGCCGTGAAAAACGGTTTCAGGGCAACTCCGCCTCCGACCGCTGTCTACGATCCCGCAGCTTATCCGCCTGGACAACAAAGGTTTATTTATGCCAATGGTACTCCAGGACAACCCGTTGCTGCCTATAATCAAGTGATATATGTAAGTATGAATTATAGGAAGTGGAAAAAAGCTTGTGTGCAGTTATCCAGACAATTATTGTTGAATTTTTTTCAAATTGTAGTTAAGTTAGGTTGAAAATGAGTGGAATGATCGAATCGCTTTCCACTGTGACCTTTATGGATCTTATTGTTATATAAAATGTGTTTTTTTTAGCCCCCTTATCAGCAGCAACAATTTTACGCTTCAGTCGCCTGGCCTCCGTCCGCTCCGGGTTATTTCGACATTAGTACAGTGTTTCAAGTGAACGGGCTGGCCCCGCAAAGCTTCAAACATCCAGCGTATCGTACGAATCAAAATAGACCTCGTAAACAGTCGAGAAGCGCCGCGCAAAGTGACCAATCTTCGCAGGGTTCTTCACAGGGTAAGTATTTTTATTTATGCTAACAGTAAATGAATGAGTGAGCTTCAATGTTAGTTTTAGTGATCTATTTATGTTAACTGAGGTAACTCCTCTTGTAGTGTAATTTAATTAGTTTCTAATCCTAGATTTGAATCCAGGATTTCTCTTCTTCAACGCATCTGACATTTTAGTATTAATACACATAATTACATTGATTCCTTATGGTTTTATTAAGATTTATTTGTAAATATAGACAAAATAAAATAGAAAATCGTTTCTATACAAGAAATAGAACAATTTTTTAACAGTCAGTTATAAATTTCGTGAAAATAGCTTGAAATATTGACAGAAAATATTCATTTTTGCCTACCAGTAGTTTGAAGAATAGTTTTTCTATTTCTGATATTAGCAAAACCCAAATTTGATCTACTTATATATAAGTTTAACATTGTGTAACTCTGTGAAGTCAACTGAAATTATATTTTCCGAAGGTGGAGGCAGCGGCAGCAGTAATAACGGACAAGGCAGCTCCAGACCATCCACGTCTTACCAAGGTCGTTCTCACTCACCAAGTAGCACTAGTAAGAGTAATAAAGGGACCGCGTTAGAAGGCGCGATTCCGAAAACTAGCCATATTCATAATGTAACTAATGACAATGATGCTCACATTGCTAATCATAGCGCTTCTCTTGGTAAGTCATTTCAAATATCTACAGGGTGATCAACTTATACTCCGTTGTTTTGAGGGATACGAACAAAAGTTTTGAATAGATAAGAGTCCAGCTCCACATTCTAAAATTATTTCATTAAATCACAGCATACCAAAGTCATGTTTTTTTAGGGTTTTATCAGGTTCTACAGGGTCCTTTTAAAGAAATTCCATTTTTATGTGAAAATCTTATTTTAATTCATCACCCTGTATTATTTAGAATCAACAATTGAGGGTTAATATCTCAAGGCCAGAATAATTTCTTATTAGTCTAATTTTATTGCATCTCATCATATTTTTGATATTTTTCATTTTGTATACAGGGTAATCCAAAACTCACGACCATGATTTTCTCGGTTATTTTTATTTTATGTCACCGTAATTATATATTTAACTTTCTTTTTTATTTTGTCTACTATTATTGTTATTAAATTCTCTAGGCCTATCGGGTATGCACTCGGATCCAGTGGAAATGTACAGGTTTATTCAACCGCCGCCTTCTATCAAAGAAGTAATACCGCCTCGGCACCGTAGGAAAAAACGCGACGAAGACAATGTCCTGAACGGACAATCGGTACAAACACAAACTAGGGATATGGTCAATTCGAGGGGGGCTGAATTTGATTTGATTGAAGAAGCTTTTCCACCATTGCCAGGTAGGAAATGTTTATTATAACATAGTTGAAAGAATATTTTTTCTACAATCACAACGAAAACGGAAATTCTTAATTTATCTCATTTATATTATGACATTTAAATGTTATATCGATTTCATAATACAAATGATTGAAAAAGTGCACTTTAAAGCTTAGACCAACTAAATATCCGTTTCTATTTCTTTAGAAGCTTTAAAGCGTGCTTTTTTCCGATGACGTTTCAGAATTTTTTATGACATCGCGCCAGATTGTTCGATTTAATTTGATGTGAATACACAAACAAATAATTTAACTTTATTTTGAAATTGTTGAATTTTGATTTTAACTGTTCTACAGTCTTGTCACTTGATATTTAGCATTTAAACTTAAAGTTAGTAATTTCGAAGCTCTATTTTAAAAAAGATTTTCATATGTATCGTGATAATAGTATTCTAGCTATACCAACCTTTTAAACATTGTTTATTTTATCTGTTGTTTTGAATTCCAATATATTTTTATATTTTTTAGACCAAGAACTAAAAAAAAAAAAAAAAATGCTATAAAATATACTGAAACAATTTTGATCTAACTTTTATTTTAGTACTTTAAAAAGGAAGGTATCTGCTTAATTTTTATTTTGATTCTTGCACCTTATTGCTTAATTTTGTTGGTAGGTTCTTGGGATTTTGGGTGCTAGTAAAGACGTTTTTGTATGTTATTTTAATGAAATTCGTGCATAATTTAAAACTTTTGGTACTGTTCAGTGCCTTCTTCAGTAATATTTATTCATTAGTTTTATTATTTTTAAATATGTATTATCTTGACATTGTTTTTAGTGTTTTATTTTATTTAGACACCCCAATTGTACTTTAGATACATTCCAAAATAAACATTTAACAACTGTAAAAAATAAAATACTAAAAACAATTTCAAGTTAATACATATATAAAAAACTAATGAATAAATATTACTGAAGTGCCGAAAGCTTTAAATAATACATGAGTTTTATTAAAATAACATATATAAAGGTCTTTACTAGCCAAAATCCCAAGAACCTACCCAAAGAATTTAACTTTTATTTTTCTCAGAGAAATCCTTTTTCACACATTGACACATCCTATAATTTCAGAATTCCCAAACTAAAATTTAAAATGGTTTTCGTTTTTTTAGTATTAAGTTTATTTTTATTTAAAAACTGGGTTAAGACTCTCAATATATTATTCAGTTTATTTAAAATTTCCTCAAGGTTATAACCATAACATGCTACCAGTGTATCATCTGCAAATAAATTAATAAAGTCACACTCAATATAATTAATGTCATTTAAATATATGATAAATAGAAGCGGCCCTAATATACTTCCTTGCGGTACTCCTAAGTTATTTTTTAGCATTTCAGATGTTGATTTACCTAGCTTTACATATTGTAATCTATCAGTCATATACTGTTCAAACCAGGTCAGGACTCGTCCTGCAAAACCCAACAGAGTCAAGTTTAATTTCCATATTTTTACTTTTAATTAATTTTTTAGTGTTTTCCACATTTCCTTAGAATCATTTTTATGTTCATCTATTTTATGTCCATAAAACTCTTTTTTTCTTGCACTTCAAACAAGTATATATCTTTTATTTTTGTATTTATTCCACAATACATTTTATCTGGACCTAAATTAAAATTAATGATTTGTTTATTATTAGTTTTAAATATAGGTATTGATAAAAAAATTAAATTTGTTGGCATGCACTGTTTTAATTTATAACTAATATTCTTAATGGTAAGATACCTATTTTTCAATGTCAAAATTTCCAATATCTTTCGGTATTCTATAAAATCTTACTCCTGATTTTAAAATTATATCAATTAATGCACTTACTCTATAAAAATACTTCCTTAATTCCCTGTCCAAACCTCTTCCATTTTCATCTGATATCTTGGCATTCTTTAGTTCAATAGTATCACTTTGAAAACTCTTTATTCTTGATATCAATTTGTAAACGTTTTAATTTAAAATATTTTCTTTTTGTAATTTATGATTGTAGAAAAAAATATATGTAACTCGTGCAAACAAACATTTTTTGCAATAATTACATAACTACTTATTGTTCAGGTCTAGAATCTGGATCCCAAACAACATATAAACACCAATCAATAACCAATTCTGCTGTAGAGGTTTTACCGACATCCCAGTCGATGGCGGAACCTCAACAGGGACCACAAGCTGGACATTGGGGAGAGAACAGACTTGCCGATGTCGTTAAAGGTAAGAACTACGTCAAGTTTAAATATTCTATAGATAGAAATCTAGCCTCGATGTAGATGTCGAAGAAAGATTAGGATTTTTCAGAAATATTTAGTAACTTTAGTTTGTAGTAAATTTTATATTGTTTGAAATTAAGAGGGATATCAGTCTCCAAAGGAGAAAATTGTAGGATAAAAGTGAGTTTTTCATTAGACGAAAGTCAATTTAGAAATGTGATCTGTTCATCAAAGGAAACAAATATGTATGAAATGCAATAGTTCAAAGTTTGCTTCAAATAAACAACTTGCTGTTTCTCCAATTATAAAATGTTCACTTCTATCTCTGATTATTAAAAGACTACAAAATAAATAAAATAGTTATGTTTTTTGGCCTTTATCAAGACTTAAAAACGTTATTAATGTCAAAGTCCTATTTCGTTAAGTATTTATTTTTATTTAAAAAAAAAATCTTCAGTTTTCTTGTTTAATCTACATTATTAGTACCAAACGATAATTTCAAGTTGATATATAGAAAATGGACAAAAATGTATGAAATTTTTTAGGTACGGCAAAATTTAAAGGCAGCACCGCTGGCGGCGGCGGTAGCAGCAAAGAATCGAGCAGCGGTGGCGGCGACGATTCCCCTAGGGCTGTTTCGCCGCAACAACTTCCACCATGCAATCAAACCATTAGGCAGAATTCTGTTTCGACGTCAACGGGACCTCCCGAATGCAAAGACGCCTCTACAGAAAGTGGAGACATCCAGCTTAGTACAGTTACGCTTACTCCTCCAAGCTCACCTGAAAAGTAAGTTATTGTATTTTCAATATATACGATTTTTTGAATGTTTAAAAAATTTCAAAGACATTCACCAGAGTAGTTTTTTTAATTGATTTATTCTAATTACATTTTAACAGATCTGTTTAGTATAAATAAGGATTAGCTGTACACAAACTAATATCGTCTTCATGTCTTGCGAATTTACAGATTAGTTCCTGCTTTGCCAATCAAATGTACAATGGCTGACAAATCGACAAAAACAGATGACGCTCTCCTAAATGGTGATTTGGATGTATTATGTCCCACTACAACAAATGCTGCCACCATGACCACAGTTGTGCCAACAGAAGCTCCTTCACGGATCGGGGCCGTTATATCTAGTTCGTCTAGTAGTAAAAATCATGTACCTGTACATAGGCAGGACTCTAAGTCTGAAACTTCGAGACATGTTTCGATTTCTCCTCCTCCTACGATGGTAAGTTTTAAACATACGATTTTTTAAAAATATAAATTTCTTATGTACCGAAAACACATTACCAACAATTTTAGAAATAGTGTCATTTGGTTTTTTATGTCAAACATGTTTTTGTTCTAGTACGTTTAGAAAAATTTGTAGTTTCATTTATCACAGAGGTAAAAAGTCATATATCTAACTTTGGGCCTTATTTTCTCCAATATTCGTGATTCAATTCGTTACCTATAAGGTACAGGTTTACTTTTAAATATGGTTGTTCAATAAACATGAGTTATTTTGATTTTGAAATGCTCTGTTTAGGAAAGAGATAATGAGGAGATGTAACTGCTAACAAATATCGTGCAGTCCTCTATAAGACATTCTAAGGGACACAGGAGGGTATAATATCCGCTATTGTCATATACCTATTTCATTATTCTCATTTTGTTAACGAAATTATTTACAATTGAAATAATTCAACCTATTTTATTACAACTGAACCCAAAAAATTTTGAATCATTGGTCATATCAAATTTAACTAAATTAGATGTAATTATACTAAATTAGATGTAATAATTTTCAGTAAATTCCAAAACCTAGTCAAGTTACGTTGTTTATTATAAGCGCACAGCGACTTACACATTTATTCTTTAATAAAAATAAGTTTTATCTGTTTAAAATTCTTCTCTTTATCCCTTTTTTTACTTCTCACCTTTCGTCTCCTCGCCGCGTCCCTACAAATAGTGTATCGATTGTCGAAGTAATCTTGGCATCTTGATATTATATTTTATCAATGTTATTTCTGGTTTAGGACTACTCTGGTAATCCGCCTAGGAAAAGTTATGCTCAAGTGGCGCAACATCACAAGGAGGCGAAAGAGCTTCAAGCCAAGGAAAAACAAATAGATGCCCCATCGACGACTGTAGCTGCAACAAAATCCACTCAATCGATAACGAATTATAATAGTATCAACACTCGTGGCCAAATTGAACGTGATAATAAAGATTCTAGAGGTAAGTTCATTTTTTTTTAACTTTAAAATCTTCAAGATATGTCAAATAAACTCTAGATATGGTGCCTCAAATTAGAAGCATGTAAGTTAATTTTGTGCACAAGTTGTTTGTAAATTATATAACTTTTGTATTTATTAATTTTATGGTTTTTTTTTTATTTATATTTCCAAATTTCCAAGGTAAGCTATTTTAAATTCTAACTTTATTGTATGATTAACAAAACGGTTGCAAATAATTTTGAAAAAAAAAATCGTTTTTCTTTTTTTAATTCAGTGTAAAGATGAAAAGGTCTTCATTTATTTTCATCTACGGTTTAACGGTTTAAAATGTACTTGATGAAATTTTATTTACAATTATACCTGGTGTTATATATATTATAAGTGTAATATATCGAGGTGGACTTTGTTTTTTTAAATGGGAATCCCATTTTTTGTTTACATATTCTTAAAGTACATAAAAAAATAAGAAACTTTTTGGGAAATATTTTTTTTATTGGACTTTTACTTTTTGAGTAACAGCTACTTGAAAATGTTGCTGCGCGAAAAAAAAGTTGGCCATATTATGGTTAGCTATAAAAAACGATTTTAGCCAAAAGTTTTTCCCCACAAAACTATAAAACTTTCGTCTGAAACGTTTTTTTTTATAAAAAGCGGTATATAGCTGTAACGCTTTAATTTAGGACACCCGGTATAAAATGTAATTTAGGTAGGTATAATCCAATTCGAAAAGATTTAATTAAAGATGAAATTTGGTAAGTACAATTTTGTGTCTGAATTTTTTTGAGTTATACCTAAATATAGTAGTTAAGAGCAAAGTAAAACATATATTTTATTGTTATAATACAGGCATAAAGGGAGATTTGGGAATGTATATAATATTGCCACATCCTTTAATTTGGGCTTTCCCCTTTTTATTTTGCTAACAGTACCATCAGTAAAAATAGTCATAATATTTGGAAATATCTTCTAAAATGTGTAGAACAGCATTATCTCTAGAAAGTGCTTTATCGGCCCTATGAACGATATATATATTCTGCCACTGTTCCAAGCCTTTTGGATCCTATAAAAAACATTTACAATGACAAAATTGGAATTCAACAAAAAAATAACAGTAGCAACTTTTTATCTAACATTAAAATTCGATAAAAAATAAATTTTCTTTTCTAGTAAGTTAAATTTAATGTATAATTATTGTTGTTTGTAAGTCAGGATCTATGATTGTAAAATTTTATTTTATAGAAACTTGCAATAAAATAAACTACACTCCGTGATACGTGTTGTGGCTAGTTTACAATAAATATTATATTTAGACAAATACATTATTTTACTTACATTAGAAGCTATAAAAAGACATTGAATTGATGTCTTCTTGTGTTTTCTTTAGTTTTACTGGTGATTTGTATCGTTTTTTGCAATGTAGAACGAAGTGAATTTTGCTTTAATGTTTTTTGTCACTTGTGTACTTTTTTCACTTTATTTTGATTCTTTTCAGCAATTTTTTAAAAAATCACTTCATTTTACATTGACATATATAGAAAATGAACGTCAGTGACGTTCGAGCTGCCAACTACAGTCAATTTAGCTAACTTTATAAAAAGGACAGAAATTTGATCATTGCCAATTCGCCTCCTTATATCTTGTCTTCATAGGCGTGACCCTGTCGTTACTAAGCGACGTAGGTAAACAAGACATAATTTGGTTTCTGCGACTGTCATTGTTGCAACTTTAGCTAGCTTTTCTCGTGAAACGGAGTCTACTTAGTAAAGTGATGTTTGACACATTGAAGTTCACAAGCGTATCCAAAGGAAATAAATGGACTGTATATTATTATTTTTTTAATTTTTTTATATATACTGATTAATATTTAAAATATATACATTAGTAGCTCCTAATCAACCATCTAGGAGACAGAAACAGAATAACGTCTTTACTCATAACCATCGTAGGTATATATCACACCTAAAAAGGCCACTTATACATATCACTCAAGATACTCTTTGGTACACCTTTTATCTTTTACATCGGATAGGATTCAACATTTTATAAATTTAACTACATCTTTTAATTAAAAAATTAACATTACAAATTGTAATGTCTTTGGTGTTTCATATTCTTACATATACACACAATTATGTAAACTACAGACGAAAAATAAATAATTTTTTTTGTTACTAAGAATTTGAATTCTTGTTTTTCTTGTAAACTAACAGTAATAATGTAAGTAGTAAAAAAAATTTCTTATTTATTCAGATAATGGTCCACAACGAACCGATTCGAGCAGCAGCGGCAATCAACAGAGGTACAACGGAATGAACCGCGGCGGCGCCAGGTCTCAAAGAAGGAGAACTGAGATGAGAACATCCCAATTGCGCGACTTTGTGACTCCTCGGTCTCCCAAGTAGCACGGATTATGGACCTTTAGTGCAATGGGGACGGTGGTGCTTAGTAACGTCAAGTACAAGTGTGCGGCGTTATACTGCCCCGAAAATTAAAAAAAACTAAATGGCATTTAAGGTGTACATGTACATTATGATTTCACTTCTATTGTGGAAGTCATATGTTCCTAGCCGACTGTTAAATATTAATATATTTAAAAAAAGGAAAAAAAAAAGAAGAAATAATTATTAGTGCTGTACGATGCAAGTTGCGCGACTGTGATTGGCCCAATCTGATATCGTTTTTGTTGACGCGGCTTCCTCGAAAACTCTTTTATCTCTCTCTTGACGTCTCTCCAATTGTGTACAGGCTAACGTTGAAAGATTATTTTTGACAAATAATTACCATTTTGTGTATAAGCTGTATAGGGGGAGTATAGGTCTAGTGTATATTGTTGTTGGGTTTTTTTTTAAATTCGGCCGTTCGCCCTACCGCTGCTCGACCATTTAGAGAGTACATATTTTAAACTAATCGAAACAGGTTGAGAGAGAATATTATGACCACGATATAAAGAAGGTATATGCAGTTTATGCGTCGGAATGGGCCGAAATGTTTGTAAAAAAACTAATATATTTCATCAATCAAAACTATCAGACACGTAAGTGATAAAAAAAAATTCGATTACAGAATAATGTTCAAAATGAACACTTTAATGCTTGTGATTTTTAATAATTAGGAACGTAAGTTTAATTTCGATGTATTTTCATTATGACCAATTAGGAAATAAATAAAAAGATTCATAATAATTAAACTTTAAATAAACCCCGTTTAGTGTAGGAACTTGTAATTTTTATGTTCCCATTGTGGACTTATAGAAATTCATATTTTTTTTTAAACCGAAAACATTTGATTTTTTTTATATATATTTTCATTTTGACCTTGAAAAAAATTATTCTGTGATAGGTATTGAAGTTTTCTCGGTGGGGATATGAAATTTGCGAAGAGCATCCTAATTTACTGACATTAAAGCAATGCCAGCGTTGTTTTATCATACAAACAGTAAGGAAATTACTTTAGTTTTTTTTTTATAATGGTGGTAGGTGTGTAAGGACGTGAGAACCTAAAAAAAAAAAATGACAAGTCTTAATTGATACAAACCATGAATATTATTTTCATTATTTTATGTAAAACAATGTCTTTGAAGTGCTTAATTTTTCGTAGATATTACAATTATTGCTTAACATAGTTACATAATTATTTCACCAATATTGTAATTTTAAAGGGTATTTTACTTATAGTCTAGGAAATAGCGATAAAAAAGTTGTATTTGAGCTCTATAGCAAATTTGCGTGGCGGTTCGGCCGTTTCAGAGCTATGGGAAGGGGGGAAAGTCGTGATAACCATCTGAAGTTATTTATAATCATTCTTAATGATAGACGAACCATTATCGTCAGCAGTGTTGCCAGGATAGGTAGAATTATCGAGAAAAATCGGTAGATCTCAGTAGAAAACGGTGGATTTCAAAAATCAAATGAAATTTGTAGAAAACGAAAGTTTTTATTATTAAAAAGTAACGAAAAAATTCTAAAATTCACATTTTTTAAAAAGAAAACGTAAAAATTAAATTTTAATCGTAGAAAATAAAAAATACTTCATAAAATCAAAATATCTCTTAAATTAGACAGATTTGAGAAAACATCATAGATAACAATTTTGTAGGAAATAAAATTCTCTAGAAAAGACGTCTCTTTTGATTTTTTCATGAGATATTCTCAATAATAAACTCATGAACTTCATAAAATCAAAATATCTCGTAAATTAGACAGATTTGAAAAAAAAATCATAGATAACAATTTTGTAGGAAATAAAATTCTCTAGAAAAGACGTCTCTTTTGATTTTTTCATAAAGTTACAAATACAGTGTGTCTAATTAAGTTGGAACCATATGGAAAAATAATGTATTATTAGTTTTAGGAAAAAAAGTTATTCTTGATAAAACGTCCTGCATGACCTGAAACTTAAAATACTGTCATCGGATATCAAATTTTTCAAGCCGTATACGAGGTTTGTCAAAAAATATGAATTTATTTTTGACAAAATCAAAAAATTTGCCAAATTCTTCACAAATATCAAGAAAAGGAAAGCGTATCATGTTTTTAATAGAAAAGAAAGAGAATGTTTCAAAAGCTAACGTAATTTATAACGTTTTCAGATATTTACAATCAATGTGTAAAAAAGTTTATAAAAAAATAGGAAAATCTGTTTTTTAGATAGATCGGTGTAATTGCATATTTGAATGTAATTTTCAATTCTAATCAACTTTTCTTAATGAAAATTTTCGTTTTTGTCAAAAATAAACACTTTATTCTTGAGCGAAATTCATATTTTTTGATAAACCTCGTATACGGCTTAAAAAATTTGATATCTGATGACTGTATTTTAAATTTTGGGTCATGCAGGACTTTTTATCAAGAATAACTTTTTTTCTTAAAATGAATAATAACAATTTTTTCCATATGGTTTCAACTTAAGTAGACACACTGTATATAGTTAAGAGTAGCTACTTTTTTGGTACAAAATGCAATGTTAAGTGAATGTTTGTATAAAGTAATCACAGATTATTTGAAAAATCGGTAGATTGCTTTAAAAAATCGGTATATCGGTAGATTTGTATAGATTAATATCAAAATCGGTAGATCTGCCGAATAATCGGTAGCAATGGCATCACTGTTCGTCAGAAAAATTGCATTGACGGTTCGCAAAAAGGGAATTTGTTTATATTGTTTCTTTTGCCATGTATATCATGTAAAAAATAGTAAGAAATAATAGTTTATCCATTTTTTTAATAATTTGATCCCAAAATTTCAGAAGTGATAAAAAATTTCAAAAATTGCCAAAAATAGGTTAAAATTATGACATATTTCATGACAGTTTATTTTGGAGTTCATTTAGCCCTAAATAAAGCAACATTCAGTTTATTTAATCCCCTCGTCACCCCTTCCAAGAAGTTAAAAATAAAAACACTGATTTTTGCGTCAAAATCAAAATATCTCTTAAAGTAGACGCATTTGAAAAAAATCATTCAGAACAATTTTGTAGAAAATAAAATTCTCTACAAAAATGGCTGTTTTGATTTTTTCATAAAGTTCATATTTATGGAGATATTCTCAATAATAAACTCATGAACTTCATAAAATCAAAATATCTCCTAAAGTAGACGCATTTGAAAAAAATCATTCAGAACAATTTTGTAGGAAATAAAATTCTATATAAAAAACGTCTCTTTTCATTATTTCATAAAGTTCATATTTATGGAGATATTCTCAGTAATAAACTCATGAATTTCATAAAATCAAAATTTCTCTTAAAGTAGACGCATTTGAGAAAAAATTATTGATAACAATTTTGTAGGAAATAAAATTCTCTACAAAAAAAACGTCTTTTGATTTTTTCATAAAGTTCATGTTTATAGAGATATTTTCAATAATTAACTCATGAACTTCATAAAATCAAAATATCTCTTAAATTAGACGGATTTAAAAAAAAATCGTTGAGAACAATTTTGTAGGAAATAAAATTCTCTACAAAAATTTCAATTTTTTCTTCGATTTTAATCGTGAATAACTTTTGAAGAATTAAATTTAGGCAAAAATTTTAAGAGACCTTTTTTGTAGAACATTAAATTTCCTTTAAGAATCCGACGTGAGCTTTTATAAATATTAATTCATTCATTAGTTACAAAATTTCAAAGCAAAAAAGTCAAATCGAAAAAATACATCGAATCTATTAAGCTCAATTACTCGAAAACGGCTCGACTGACGAAAATTTTCAATCAGACCTTTTTTGTAGAGAATTTAATTTTATATAAAAATAAGTTAAACAGAATAGAATAGAGAATAAAAAGTGACCCAAACCGACATGTTATACATTTTTAAAACGGCTGTTGCAAAAGTTTTCATTTCATACCTCACACGACGGAATCAGAAAATATTTTTAATCCCCCCTCTCCCTCCAAATTGATTCTATATAACATAATGCAATTTTGATAATTTTTGTTCAGTGTAGATCTTATTCTCAAGGTTTGCTCATCATTCTATAAAAATTTCATTTTTCAAAACTAGAATTGTTTTCCATTTGAAGATATTATGACTGGATATTTATATTTGGACACCCAGTAAAGGGTAAATGTTGGCATTTAGAATGCAGTTGTTAAAAATTAAACCTAAAAAACCTTCCTTTTGATGAAAAAATACGGGGACTTTTTTTTTGAACAAAAGAACAAGCCAATTGAAGTTTATTTTTCATAAAAATCGTAGTTTTTTTAAAATATCTCTTAAAGTAGACGGATTTGAGAAAAAATCAGATAACAATTTATGAAGATATTCTCAATAATAAACTCGTGAACTTCATGAAATCAAAATATCTCTTAAATTAGACGGATTTGAAAAAAAAATCATCGTTGAGAACAAATTTTGTAGGAAATAAAATTCTTTGCAAAAGACGTCTCTTTTGATTTTTTTATAAAGTTCATATTTATGAAGATATTCTCAATAATAAATTCATTAACTCCCTAAAATCAATATTTCTCTTAAAGTAGACGGATTTGAAAAAAATCATTAAGAACAATTTTGTAGGAAATAAAATTCTTTACAAAAGATGTCTCTTTTGATTTTTTCATAAAGTTCATATTTATGAATATATTTTCAATAATAAATTCATTAACTCCATAAAATCAAAATTTCTCTTAAAGTAAACGGATTTGAGAAAAAAATCATAGATAACAATTTTGTAGAAAATAAAATTCTCTACAAAAAATGTCTATTTATTTTTTCATAAAGTTCATATTTATGAAAATATTCTCAATAATATACTCATTAACTTCATAAAATCAAAATATCTCTTAAAATAGACGGATTTAAGAAAAAATCATAGATAACAATTTTTTAGGAAATTAAATTCTCTACAAAAGACGCCTCTTTTTATTTTTTCATAAAGTTCATATTTCTGATAGAGATATTCTCAATAA